CCTCTTTAAGTTCAGTAGTAGGTGAAATGTAACAGAGTGCCATTATAACAAAAAAAATCCTAAATTACTAACTACCAAGAATCTCGATGCAGTGCAACATTCCTCATGTTTGTCTGCACCCTTAAAAGGTGAAAAGGTCAAACTGGTGTTGGATTGTGAAACAATACCCCAGACTTTGTGCATCTTAAAGAGCATTGTTCAAGCTCTCGCAAAACAATGGAAAGACTGCAGTACAACAGGAAAACTTCTCAGAGACGGCCGTCCATCTCAGCCGACAGGTCGGATGAGTATTAGTTAGAGGAGGAGACGAGGTTCACATTCCAGCGTGAAGCGGACTCGAGAGCAAATTGATGCCTTGCAATAGCTCAGTCAAAGTCTGGGCGGATGAAGGATTTGGGACAGGATTTTCTCCCAATCTGATAGTTTGAGCTATTATGCAAAGAAGAATGAACATATGTACAAAGCTTTTAGGGACACACTCAAAGTTTGCTGTACACAGTTTTGGTCTGGAATGCACTTGTCACTTTTCAGAACTTTATTTGTGTAAACTTTGCACAACTGTGCTGTTTGTCACATTAAATACTCCAAAAATTTGCAGAAGATTGTGGTTGTAACATAACGTGTAGGAATGTCCCCTAAAATGGTGAATGAATACTTTTGCAAGGTATTGTTCTTAATGGTTTTAAACATATTTTAATGTAGATTTATAGCTGCAGCGTGTCATTACCTGACTCTTTAGATAGCTTCCATGTACCTTGTGTTGTTAGGATATAAAACATGACCCCTTTTTATGGTGTGAGTGAGCAGAAGTCTCACTACTTCTTGCATAGACACTCAGGACAGGGTACTTCCTGTTTAGAGTAACTCCAAATGCTCTGTTATCAGTTTATCAATATTGCCTCTTTACATATTTTTCCCTTTTCTTGTTGTGTTCCAGTCCTGAAGCAGCCGACAGCTCATCTTTCGACGTGCAGCTCGGTGACATCATCTTGACAGCCACAGACGGCCTCTTTGACAACATGCCAGACTACATGATTCTTCAGGAGCTAAAAAAACTCAAGGTGTCACTTCTGGAAGACATTATTTATTTTTTTTTGACACACAGTAAACCCTTTGCACATTTTAATGATTCTACATTTCTCGTTTTCAGACTTCAAACTACGACAGCGTACTGCAGACTGCACAAAGTATCGCTAAGCAAGCTCACGACCTAGCTTATGATCCAAATTACATGTCTCCTTTTGCACAGTTTGCCTGTGACAATGGTCTGAATGTAAGAGGTGAGGACATTAATTTGCAGCACGTACAGTGCACAAGTTAATAAAGACTGTAAAACGAAACTAAGAGGGTTTTAAAGGACTCTCTGAACTGAAAACTTTTCACTTTTTTGCAGGAGGAAAACCAGATGATATAACGGTGCTGTTGTCTATAGTGGCTGAGTATACAGACTGAACATGTGCTACTCTGGGACTGATCCTTCTTTGCCGCCTGCCTGAGTCTTCCACCTGCAGCCCTCCCATCATGCCCCGCAGGCTGACGGGTGGGGGTGGGGGGAGGCCCACCCACACAACTCGCACTCCTTACAGTGTGGCCGAACTCCACGTTTGCTTCTTTTTCTTTTCTTCCGCTGTTTTAATTTGGTGCTTGAGTGGCGTACGGGCAGCAGGCAGCTAAAGTATGTTCATGTTGATCATGATGCAGCAGGAGCTGAGATCACTCCCCGTGTCTCACACGTTGTCATCGGACAAACTGTAGGGGACTGAAGCAGAACAGACAGGGGGTTGTTTTTTCTTAACAGCGGCCCTTATGCTTCAATAAATGTGACATTATTAAGGAGTAAGCCATGCATTCAGATATATTGTGAGAAGGTCATTGAACCTCCCTGTCAATCTTTTATTACATTGTTATTTTGCTCCCATGTTCTGTTAAAGTAAGCACATATATTAGCTTGAGGATGCTTGTGTGGGAAATGAGTGTTGTTGAGAAGGACGATTTGGGAGTTGCTTTTTGATGCCTCGGGGTTGGGAATGTCCGAGAAACCTGTGAAAGCGAAAGTGTAACGCTTGTTAAAATGTTGCGGTAAGGTTAAGCTGGTGTTGTCACTTAGCCGAGGAAGCTGCTGATGCGCACATCGTGGTGGGTTGTAAATATTTTGTTTTGGTTATTTTTTAGGATTATATTTTTGTTGTCAGTTGAATGATAAACTTGTGGTAACTCATGTAGGATATAAAGTCATTCATGAACACATTTCTTTGCCTACGTGATAATCTTGTATTTAATTTAATCACTTCCACACTTGCTGAAACGAACAAAATATTTGCAAGGATTATCAGTACGGCAAGCAGTTTGTGTATTTCATCTAATACGCTTGAGAGCAATCTTAATTTCCTCACACTGGGTTAATTTACAGCAGTAGTTCAGGAAAATGTAATGCTATTAACTATTTTTGCCAGCTGGTGGCAAAATCTGTCGTACTGGTAAGACAGGAAACTTAAAAAAAAAAACAAAAAAACAGCCAAATGCTGAACTAGCAACGCAAAAGAAATAAATAGTAGACCTAATGCTGCATATCAATGATATTTTGATATATACAGAAACGGCTTGCCGTGTCTTTTCATCCGCTGAGTGGTTGGAGTGACGTTAAAATACGAGTGTGGTATGTGTGAGAAGTCTTGAATGTTGATATTTATCTCAGAGCAGCTGGGAATGCTTGTAGTTGCAATGATGGGTCAGGAGTACATTGAAAGAAAAAAATACTTTTTTTAGCATTATTTTGTCTGAAAAATATTTAAAGCATACAAATACATGTTTCAATATGTTTGCTTTTTTGTTTTTGTATTTGGTCTGATTTTGTCATTTGTCTTAACTACATTTTTAGCTCATATCTACATTTACATACATGCAATTAATTGGCTTCATCATTGAGTCAAATCACTACTCAAAAGCAGTAAAACACTCAATACTTTTCTTATAATAATAGGATAGGATATTTTACTCTTGTCTCACTCTGCAGTTTTCACATTAATGCAACACAGGGCACATGCATGGGAGTAAATGCATACACTGGACTTATAAAAACAAAACAGATTGCACTATCCATTCAAGTTTCTCCTTTAGTCTAAAGCCTCATCCAAACTCCTCGACAAAATCTTTAGTGGTCAGTTTTAAAGCATGTGCACCAAAGACCCACTTTCTTTATGTATATTATCAGTGCTTTGTTCAAAAAGCAGTACTGTAAGTTATCCATGTGCAGCGAGCAGCGGCGTTGGTAGTGACGTTTAGTGTGTTACCGTTGTCTCACATTCGTCGCAGGCTTTAGGTTGGCGTGTTTTGAAGTGACCGGATAGCTGTAAGCACAACACAAGCAACCAAAAAAGGAAAGCCATTTTGCCCGATAAGACGCACTGTAAGAACCAGGGATCATAATATTGGTACTCTGCCGGTACAGTCCCAGCTGATTCTTTTGTGTGCTATGCATTAAACTTTAATCAGATTGTGCTATTTGTTAAGGGAGCAATAGAACAATTAAAAATGTTTGTGTCATGCATGATCAAATTTCATCGTCTGGATCTAACCGATCCTCTTTTGTCAAGACAAAACAGGTTATCTGAATATCACTTTCCTGCTGCCTGCCCGGTTCGGTTTGTATTTCTTCTGCTGCCAGCACCATTTTACTCTTTTCACATAAATAAGGATGATCACAGTTTCAGCCTTAAAAGCCAGACCTGTAAATCAAGAGGCCTTTCCTGTCATTGCGAGCTTGTTTTGCGTCTGCTGGTGTCTATTTTTTTCCCCTGGTGTTTGATGTAAATGAAGTGTCCCCTCCCTCCCCTCCTGCCTCTCGTGTTTATCTCATGTTAAGCCGTTCTCAAGGTGCTTCTGCAGTCTGATGGTATGATTGTCTTCTTTCTAGCCTGAGTGTGACCGATACGCCTAGAGGTCTACAGTGTAATATTGCAGGTCTAATTTATGTAAATACTGGTATGTTTTAAAATATGTACAATATTTAAATAAAGAATCTAGTATTTATACTAAAATTGTGCTGTTTTTCTAAAGGTGTATGAGATTCTTTGAACATATTCAGGACATTCTTTAAGTACAGTACAGAGATTAGGAGATATTGACATGCACTATTGAAGCATAACTATTTTTCTCACCGGTAATGGATCAGACTAAATTATTTCTATTATCAGGATTACCAATATTATCCTTGTTTGCTAAATGCCAGAATAATGAACAGTTTTATGTTTTATTTACATTTTCTTATTATTGGGTAGAATAAATAAAAAATATAATTTAACACCCATTTAAAAATGTTTTCAAAATGACAGCTTGAAAAAGATGCTTCACTCAAATCAGGTAATCAGATGAAGATTTTTTGTTTGCTTTTGTTTTAAATGTATTTTTTGTTTTTATATAACTATTTAGTTTTTTATTTTACTACATTCAATAATGTCAAACTCAAGATTTACTTTCATAAATCTACAGGAACTCTTTTTGGGCTCAGTAGTTACTTTTATAAAAATTTCTTCATAACTTTCGGGAACTTGCAAAGAACTTCATAGGACATATATGGTACTTCCACTGATTTGTCTGGAAGTCGAGGGGTAATTACCTGGGCTTTATAGGTTACTTTGAAGAAACTTTCAGGAGTTTAGATAGTACATCTTGGATTTACAAGTTACTGACCTGAACCCTACTGGTCTTTTCCTGTAACTTTTTGTAATAAGATTTTGAGAACTTGCAGCTTATGGTTTGTGATAATAGTTCACTGTATATAAACTACTAGAATTTAAACTTACTATAATTATGTCTTTACTGTTACCATAGTACTACTAACTACCAACTTGCACAGTTTACTGTAAAAATATATATATTCATACTGGGAGAAAATATAAATAGTATAATATTATGAAAGAAATTACAATTTCATTTTTAGACGTGATATCTGTAGTGTAAAAGGACAGACAATTACTGTGTTGTAATATTCGTGCTTCACCAGTAGGTGGAAGGCGAGAGCAACTGGATGCCGTGCATGTTTTGTTTACTAACTTGCTCCAGGCAGCCAGTTTCTCTTCCTTGTAGCCTAAAGCTAACCTACATTCTTGCTGACAGCAGTGAGACTCAGAAGAAAAGGTCAGCTGACAGCACTATGATAATAGCATGTTACCTTCGGCGATAGTATTACAAATAATCGAGCTAATTTAACCTCTTTTTTTGGAGCTGGTCGTTGGATTTAGGCTCTGGGGATTTAACCACATGGTGGAAATCGGTTTGTGTACCTGTAACGTTCATTTTGGATTCAAATACGGAGATTTAGCAAAGAAAATAACCTCTCAATAGTTTGTTTAGGTGTTGACCAGCTAGTCTTCGAGCTAGCTTTGTCCTGTAGCAGTTAGCTAACCCAGCGGGCGTCTGCATGGAGAGCTTTAAACTTACATGCTGAAGTTTTGAGATCACTCTCTAGACCGCCTGCTTTTACTGAGGTAAATGCCGTCTAAATGGCAAAAACGGAGCAGAGAAATGGACTGGAACTTCAGGGCAACACAGAGAAGCTGACGGACAGTAACGGGAAGAGCAGCTCGAATGGACTGGAGCCAGAGGTGAACGGCTCCATCCCCGAAGAGACGCAGGTGGACAAGTACGGGTTCACTGGAGGAGCTCAGCAGTCCGCCGGAGAACTGTGAGTAACATTTCAGCACGACTGACAGCCAACTTTCAGTTAGATTATTGAATGAGGAAGCTAAAAAAGATCATTTCCCCTTGTGGGAATATAATTCTTCGAAAAAGACAACGGTTATTGTTTGTGTATTTTAAACTGATATGTAGCCTATCTTAATTTCGTGTTTTAAAAGATTATATATATTTTGGCTACAACAACTAGAGTCCAAAAATTCTTAATACATCTGGGTTAATATGATGTCTGTCCTCCTATTTGTGCTATAATGAATTTCCATGTAGTTTAGGAGACTATTTATGAGAAATTGTTTACTACATTCTTTCAGAAGTATATTTGTTAGGTCAGACAGTGATGCTGGACAAGAAGGCCAGGCTTCACTCTTGATTAATTCTTGAGGTGTTTCATCATGGTTTAGGTCTAGACTCTGTGTATATGAGTCAGGTTCTTCCTGTCTAAGCTCAGTCATCCGTGTTTTTATTGACCATTCTGTTCACATTAGTGCACATTCATGTTGGAACAGAAATGAGGTATCACCAAATATTTTTTGCAACAGTGGAAGAAGTTATTGTCCAAAATGTCATCGTATGCTTTAGGATTTGATTTTTTTATTCAGTTCCTGAAAGACAGCCTCTACTTTTTGCACCAAACTTAGATTGCCAAGAATGCTTTTAGGCACGCTGGACTTCTGCTCCTTCAGGCGCACTGCCCTGCATGTTTAAGATATTTCCCTGCTTTCACACACCTGATTCAGATGAATGCAGTTCAGCGAAAAGCCTGTTAATCAGTTGTCAACTGAAATCAGGTGTGTTGAAGCAAGAAAACATCTAAAACATGCAGGTTAGGGGTAACATGAGCCTCGAGGACCAGGGTTGTGAAACACTGATGGTCTGAGTGCTAATGGCTAACTTGCAGCAGATTCCTAAACGGTTCCACTACAATAATATCACTAAGAGTTGACCGTTGCATGCTTAATGTAAAGAAAATGTCCTAATGCGCCTGTCGTGACCCAACAGTAGAGTTCATTAATGTTTGTAGAAGAATTCTGGATTACTGTTCTAATATTGAATGGATTTTTTACATTTGCGATTATCTTCCAAAGTTTGGCTTAAGAACTCCAAAATATAGCATTTCCCCATTTATTTCCTGGACAAGTTTTGTTTCTTCAATATGTATATATTTTTAAATGAATTATAGGACGAGAAAAATCAAAAACATCATGTTTAAACTAATTCATTACTCCTGTGTTTCTGGATAGCAAATGGAAGATGTATCATAATGGCCTAAGGAAGGACAGGAAATCAGATTATATCTGTAGGCTGAACATTGTGGCAGATCCTCCCTCTGCATGTTCATGCAAACAATAGAGGATAATTGTAGTGCAGCTCAGGGTGGTGTATTTCCCTTTCACTTGGTTATTGTTCATCTATGCATTGTTCAAGCTCTCTCCCTCAGTGTGAAGGCAAACTAACGTGAGCTGCAAAGCTTTCAGGCGTCTGTTTTCTACACGAGTCCTCTTATTCTGAAACCTTTTGACTGCTTCATGTCAGACATCCCTCTTTTTAAAGTCACAAGAGCAATAATAATTAGAAGCTTTTCCGTTTCAAATGAAACAGTCTTCTCTTGAAAAGTTGACATTTGGAGGCTTCACCGAAAATACAAATATAGCTTAAAAATGTGCTTTTAAACTGAATATAGACCTGAACGATCAATAATAAATCAGACTTGGCAGTCTGGTCTGTCATAGGCAACACAGTATTCTGCATTTTTTATTTGTTTTTTTTATTATTATTAATGATAGAATGTAATACCGTCTAGATGATTTGGAACTTTACATACACCAGTTATTTTCATGCATTTCATCTTTTTGTAGTCTCTTAACATTCAGTATGACTATGGAGCAAACATCTTAGATGTTTTGTTTATCAACACTAGTTTATATTCATTATGGACCCAAACAGGATCAAAATGATGTTTGTCCCAAACATAGTTAAACCTTTTAATCAACTTGGAACCGAGCTTGGAACATTTTACAATGATCCTTGTTATTTAGTGTGATAATTGTGTTGATTATGTCCTACCCTTCCTTGAATTGTGCAATAAATGTCCACATGTGGGACAATGAAGAGCTGAATCTGAAAAATGAACTCAATACGTGATATTTGGTTAAATGTTCCTTAACAAGCTGGCAAAAGAAAAGCTAAGGTAAATCATTAAGAGCCTTATAGCATCCATGCTCATTGTAAGTTTATGTAAACCTCTGATTAGAGCTGTAAGTGTGTATCTGGATGACGCTGGTTTTCACTTGCACCGCTCCAAAGGGAAGATATCTTTGTGCATGAGCCTGCGATGAGCTGAATTGGGGGAAAGGTTCCCCTCAGCTTCCTGTTTTCCCTCCACCTCGCTCAGATTCCTGAGGAAAGTTTCCTGCATGTGCGAGGAAGACCGGGATTCTCCAGATATAGCAACAGCAGAGGACAGAGGAGCCGCAGCCAGCTTGTCTGAACGCTGTTTGTATGGATTGTGTCTCCTCAGAGCGGAAGAAGTCCCCATTGCGGTGCTGAGGCAACGCGAAGCTAAATGGCTGGAGATGCTGAACAGCTGGGACAAGTGGATGGCCAAAAAACACAACAAGGTCCGATGCGCACACCGAATCCGCTAAGAGATTATGAGAAAATCTAGTTCTTTTTGTTTTAGAAAAGGGTTTCTCATGACTTCATGCGTGAGTTTTGAGTGATTGGATGTGTTTTTGTTGGATAAAAGGTGAAAGAGCGCTGTCAGAAGGGGATCCCTCCGTCCTTACGGGGCCGAGCCTGGCTCTACCTCACTGGGGCCAAAGTAAAACGGGAGCAAAACAAGGGCCGGTTTGAGGTCGGTGCACGATTCATGCTTGCCTTTTTATGACATGTATTAATCAACCCAGCTGGAAGAACATCGTTTTATGCCATGCAACGTCATTTTTTTTATTATTCTGCACGGGAAAAATCAACATTACGATGAGGAACTTTTGCAGGAACTCGTGTATAAACTTAATGTCTGCATTTGACTAGATCTGCTGCAGTTATGAGATTATGATCCTTCATTTCCATTTTTTTTTGTTTGTTTCAGATTACAAGAACATTAAAGGTTGTTTAAAGTTGTAACATGTCACGAACCGATGTGTTTCAGGAGCTGGACATTCAGCCAGGAGATCCTAAATGGGTCGATATCATCGAGAGGGATCTTCATCGCCAGTTTCCTTTTCATGAAATGTTCGCAGCCAGAGGAGGTCATGGGTCAGTTGCCTGTTTTACTGTATGAATTGGTGTTAATGCTGCGCATTTTTTATGAGGTTTTATACGATTGACTATATATGAATCTGAAAAGTGTGTCTTGGATTTGTTTAGCTTTTTCTGCTGTATTTTCAGCTGCAAATCTTTCAATCAGGCTGGATGGAAAGATTCTGTGAATAGAAACCTTCAAGTCTTGCCTTGTCTTTACTTTGACTGGACCAGAGCCTCCCCATTGTAGCTCTAGGTGTTTATTTCGGCTTATCAAACTGTTGGGAGTTGGATTTAATTTTGTCCATACTCCCATCCAGTCCCTCTCCACTGTGGGAAAACCTTCCCAGAGCATCATGCTGCCACCACCGTGTTTCACTGTGCAGGTGGTGTGCTGTCAGTTTTCTGCCACACTTGTAAGCTAAGAAGCTCATTTATGGTCTGATCTGACCAGATGGTTTTATACTACGTGACTTTTACCGCAACAAAAAATAAAAAGCACCAAACATGTGGTTGTAACATGAAGAAATGTGGAAAATTGAGCGGATATGCTTGCAAAGATGATATCGTCCATGTTTTTTTCCTGCAGGCAGCAGGATCTGTTTCGCGTCCTGAAAGCTTACACTCTCCACCGACCTGACGAAGGTTACTGTCAGGCTCAGGCTCCCGTTGCTGCCGTCCTCTTGATGCACATGCCAGCTGAGGTGAACATCCTCTAATGTTTCAAGATCCCATTTTTTTTCTCTTTCAAAAGTATCTACAAGCAATCTATTTAAAGTGTGTGTGTTTTTCCCCCCCCATATTTGGTTTTCATATTTGACACTGATGTCACAATTCTGTTTTAGGATGCCTTCTGGGTTCTTGTGCAGATCTGTGAAAAATACCTTCCTGGATACTACAGCACGGGGCTGGTATGTCACAGAGCCACCTGAGGAACAGCGGGGCGTTACCTGAAAGCATGTCCATCGTTATGCAAAAACTCAAGATCTTATCAAGTATTTTTGGTCTAGTTTCCAGTGCAGATATCTTAGTACAAATGAAATAAAACTAAACTAACTCACAAGTAACTTTTCAGCACAGTATAGAAGTTAATTTTAAGTCAATAAGTCCTTAATATTGACGAGACACTTGTCCTATGTTAATATAAGTAAAAATGTGTTGTTCCACTGGCAGATTATTTCACTTATAACAAGTAGTTTTTAGTCAATATTAAGGAATTATTGACTTCAAACAAGTCATTAAGTATTTGGTGCGATTTTGTGTTTTTTTGCAGTGTACCGGAAATTTACGATTTGACAAAGAGATGATCGCTTATTACTAGAAATACACAGAATACGCATGTAGGTCAGAAATAAAAATTAAATCAAATTTTCATTTCAAAGTGCTGCACGTCATAAAAACCCCAAAATACAAAGTCGTAGAACACACAGTCAACAACTGAAACATTACATTTTGCCGTCAAAGACATGAGTTTGTCATTTTACATGTTTTTAAGTTGCAGTCAGAGTTTTCCAGTGAAACAAACACCAGCTTCAGAACATTTTTGCTATGCTACGGTATGTGCGGCCATAGAAGCCGTCAGACTTGTCAGGCGACTCTTTCTCTCACTGGATACTGATAAGCTAACAAGCTAATAACACAAGGTGGTGACTGAGCCAAGGACAGGGATAAGCAGACAATCAGATTAGGCGGAGACAGAGGAATCTGTTGTCCCCGCCTGCTCACTGCTGTTCCCCCGTCTCCTCCACAGGAGGCGATCCAGCTCGACGGGGAGATCCTGTACGCTCTGCTGCGGGGGGTGTCTCCCGTGGCTCACCGCCACTTAAAGAAACACAAGCTGGAGCCGATCCTGTACATGACGGAGTGGTTTATGTGCGCCTTCTCCCGGACCCTGCCCTGGTCCTCTGTGCTGCGGGTCTGGGACATGTTCCTCTGTGAGGGTGAGGCCCCCCGGGAGAAAAAAGTTAAAGAAACGTAACGCTTTGTTTTCCTTTAGGTAGCAGTAATGATATCACACTTGGAGTGAAAACGTTTTGGCTGTTTGTGTGAAAACAGTCACAGATGAATTTGCTGCCACGCCCTCAGAGCATTTTTAGTGTCTTAGTAATAAATGACGAGTGAGCGAGCGAGCGAGCAAACACACTGATGTAATGTTTAACAAGGGCTTTTATTGTTTACTAAAGTTCAGCATATTTTGTCTTGACTTTAACGTAGTTTTCAGTTTTCAGGTAATCTGTCTAGTTTTCCAGGAAATGTTTTTCTTTTGTGTTTCAGACTTTTAGAAATGCAGAAATATTCAAAAGCAGTATGTAAATGTCACTGTATTTAGCGTCAGTCATCCACACCCAATTGTTGTTTCACCGAAATGGAAAATTCTTCTTTACATTCCTGAATAGATGCAGGAAAAACAACCTCAGTTTAAAGTAAAACACCCAAGACTTTAAAGGGTTGTACATTTGTAGTAAAAAAAAAATTACCCAAATTAATTATTTGCATTCAACTCAAAAACCTTTATTTGCGTCTTTAACAAAGTCTTAGTGAAAGCAATACTTTACATTTAAGATTAAACTGTGTAACATTGATTCAGTTGTGATTAGAAGATTTTTGCAGAATTAGAAATTTCATGAATTTGAGTGAAACAACTCAGATTTTAAAGTGCGATTCCATGAGTCCAGCTGCATGAGGACATCAGAGATCCTTTTGGGGTTGATACGGCTCACCACCCAGGGTGCCATTTTACTCTCGGGTTGGCAATAATACCTAATGAGAGGAAGATATTTTATTTCTAGTGCCTACTCGCATGTCCATCCTATAGAAAGAGAGCTCCCCCTTGTGGTCACAGGCAAACGCTGTTTAAGTTGTGGTCAAATCTGGACTGAAATGTTCACTGAAGAAAAATTATTTAAAACAGTTTTGAGATTTAAATTTGAGAAGAGCCAAAAAAAAAAAAAAAACAGAGCTGATTTAAACATCTTGTGGCTTTTGCAATCATCTCGGAATAAAATAATCGTTTGAACCAAAATTTATACTGAAGTTCTGGACTGTCATTTTAAACATGGAAACACTGTTTGGATATTTTTGCTCTAGTTTCTAACATGGAAATATCTTAAAATACTTGAAATAAGACAAAACTAACTGACAAGTAACTTTTCAGCAAGATATAGGAATTAATTTTAAGTAGTATAAACTCCTATATCTTGCTGAAAAGTTACTTTTGTCTTATTTCAAGAGTACCAAGATATTTGCACTAGAAACTAGACCAAACATACTTTGTAAGAGTTTTTGTTTTATCCAATCTACATTTGCAGATGTAATTACATGTGTTCTGATTGGTGTTTCTGCTCTCAGGAGTGAAGATCCTCTTCAGAGTGGGCCTGGTTCTCCTGAAATGCATGTTAGGAACCCAAGAGAAAGTCAAGACCTGCCAAGGTTTATACGAGACGATGGAGCTGTTGAAAAAGATTCAGCCTCAGTACACACGTGAAGGCTTCCTGGTGCAGGAGGTAGGGCTGCTCTGTTGTAACCTTTACTCGTTCGATCGCCCGTCTTCCTGAATCTGAGACGTCGCCGCTACCTGTGTGTTTCAGATCATCGATCTACCGGTGTCTGAGAAGAACATTGAGAAGGAACACCAAGCTCAGCTGCGACGTTGGAAGGAGAGTCGCGGAGATCTAAGTTGCAAGTCCCCTCCGAGGATGCACGGCGCCAAGGCCATAATGTCTGCCGAGCCTCCGAGCCGGCAGGAGCTGAGACAGAGACCTACCATCATCGTTGAGTCTCCTTTGGCGGCGAAAACGGAAGCGGCTCCAGGAGACGAAGTGAAGGGAAGTAAAAAGGCCGCAAAGGCAAACGGGCACACGACGACCGTCCTGCCACCAGACGGGATCGTTAATCTCAGTGATCCGTCCTCAACCCTTCATCACACGACCACCCAGGGGTCCAAAGAGAGTCTGAGCAGCGCCGAGCACGACACGTACCTTTAACCAGACCAGGTTTACACCAGTTCATAGAATGAATCATTCCACGACACTCTGTTTCAGCATGAACCACTTCATAGTTTTTAGTGACAGGATAAACATTAAATCCCTGCAGAAGCAGTGGAAAATGCTTTTTACTCTTTATAGACACAACACAGACTTCTCAGGTGTTGGGCTAAGACATTTCACTAGACCAAATAGCGTTTAAATGTATTTTATGCTAAAATATTGCTGCCTATGTAAGCATAGGGGGCAAGGTTTTAAATTGTAGAAGTAATCATTTTGAAATGCACATCAGTAATGAGCAATTCATGGGAAGAGGTATTCATTCATTCTACATGTCCGAAGTCAGTTCGTAAGGGTCATCCTGCATATTTCAGTTATTTCTCTGGTTCAACAAACATAAATCAAATAATAGTTCATTATTTGGTAGAGTACCTCTACCATACTTTGAGGTAATTGGACCATTTGAATCAGCTATGTTGGGGTAGAGACTCCTCTAAAACAGGCAGGTGTGGCCCTTGAGGACTAAAGCTGGCCCTAATTAATTAATGACCTTTTCTTCCTCGGTTTTGCCCTGACGAGTCACTACGTTTCCAATCTCTCAGCAATTCACACTAACTCACAGACAAACACTTGCCAGCTTGTCTGCTTGGCCCATTTTCATGTGCTGGTTCTATGAATCAGTAATTGCTCTTCTTGTCCACACGGGGGCGACCTGACGCTGGGGGTTTTTTTTTAGCCAAAGCAGTGAGCCGCTCTTGGGGTAAAACTTCACATTCAGACGGAGGAGCGAGGTTCATCACCAGCGGCGTTTTGTGTCAGTATGCCAAAGATTTGTTGTTTATATGTTTTAAATATTTGAGAAGAGGGTTTTGGTTTTCTCAAAGTGTTAACATTAATTTGTTAAAAGGGGACAAATGTATGAGAATGTAGAGCTTCTTTAAAGTTTGCAGTTCCTTCAGTTTAAAATGATATATTTTTAAAAAGTTGTATTTAAAAACAAGAACTGATAAAAAGCTGTTATTTGTAATCTGCAACAGCAAAGTCACTATTGATCTGGTGAGCCATAAACCTTTGATAATCAGATAGATGTTAGTGTTGTACCTCATTATCATTATTGTTGTTATAATATGGTGTCAAATGAGGAACGAAGTTTCAAATGAAGTTTTATGCAAGCAGCATTTGCCAGTCCAACAAGCTGTTTTAATGGATGTAAGTTGATGTACCAAAATATCCATTGTCTTATGTCTGAAATTTTATTGTACAAGCCACTAAGGTTATCTGTTAATTTTAAACAAATTTAAAAAGTGCATTTGTGTGGTTTTGTGGTTCTTTTCTCCAAGAAAAAGTGAAGGTTTTTGTTTAAATTTAAAGCATTTGGTGTTTTTATTCATGTGCAGAGCATCAATTACATTTTGCCAAATGTTTATCTGCTGGACAAAGCATAAAGCTTCCAGCTCCATTTTAACATTTATGTGGTATTTACTGATCATCTGAGAATTATTCATAGAAAATATGATTCAAATCGACATAATATGGTTCCGTACCAAGGAATATTTAAAGAGGTCTAAATGCCAGCAGCATTACAGAAAAAAGTATAGTTTATGTAGTGAAATGCTACTTTGTATTAATATTTACCAAGGTTTTGATTTGTATGGGAAAAGAAAACAGAATAGTAAAAAAAAATTTATATGCAGACTTTATTCTCTTAATCAAAAATTTTATTTTATTTTATCCAATCAGCTTCGTTTTACACTGATTTTTTTAATTTTTAGTTCCACCACAGACATAAGAATTAGGTTTAATTGAATATATGACTTTTCAGTATTGTCTTGTGCTTTTGCCTATTTCCTGTGTTTGCAATTTGGAGACGTGTGCGCTTCTCCAATCAACAGGGAGTCTGGCTTGTACCAAACTTGGATAAGTTGCCATCACCTTCTCAGCACGTACATTTTATGCATTTTCAAAACTCTTGTGCTCCAGCTTGCCTACTGGAGAATGTATAATTTACCAACTTCAAGAACCTGCAAAAAGCACATTCTGATTTTTAATGTGCTGAAGTTGTAGTTCTGGGTGAAGTGGAGTTAGAAAAACAGCATTGAAGCATTATCATCTGAAACTTGTTTGTGCATTTAAAGATGATGCTTTGCAAAAATTTTGCTGCTTATACATTTAAAGGCCAGCTGCTGTCTTACACCATTTTTACATTTTGGCCACGAACAGACAGATAAAATACTGATTGCATCTTTTAGTTTGTCCCACAACCTGGAATAAGACATATTCTCACATTCTGCAGCTTTTCACACAGTTCCCCCTTAATCTTATATATTGTCCCATTAAAGAGATTTTCCATTGTGAAAACATCATGTTTTTTATTTATTTATTTTTTTTACAATTTACAACTCATCTTTTCTCCACTGACTGGTATTTAAGTTGTTATGACAGCTCACCCCACATCCATCTCTTTTCATGCATTGCTGATAAAAAAAAAAAAAAAGAAATTAAGACAAGGGGTAAAAGTCAAGTAAAGACAGGAGCCAGCAGTTGAATGGCTTCTGTGTTATCATTCAGCGCCCTCCCTCCCTCACCCGTGCTGTAGCAGCACACTTCCTCGGACACCTGTTCCTCCCTCTCTTTCAGCTCTTTGAGGCATTTGCATCTCAAATAGGCTAAATTCCCACAGCGCCGTCTGAAGCTCGTCACACAGCCATCAGCCTTTGGTCCCTGAATGGAGTCCTCCGCGCACATACAGGCCTTCTTATTCTGCCCGGTCCACCAACAAACCTCAGCTGTGGTCCAGCAACGCGACAGCCAACATTTTAAGTTTCCCTCCCATCAGCGACATCTTCCATGCTTCTTTCTGTAAAATTCCTCCTTCAAAACTTCATTGTTGCCTTTTTCTTAAAATTCCTGTAAACAATTCTACACACATATTGCTAAAGGGTGCTTGTCATTGTGGCATCCTTGTTCATCTCCTCTCATAATCTTCACTTCTTTGCATTTTGCTTATGCAAACAATACAAACTGTCTTAAACCTCTCTTGTCCCTACCACACCCTTAATCAAACCCATTCTCGACCCCCACCTGTCTGTTTTGAACTTTTGCAGTGCTCAACATCTCTGGCTAGACCCAAAACCCTGGGAGTGGGGTTGAATGGGAGACAGGCTTTATGGCTAATCTGCAGAGATGGGGGTGGAGACGTGACCCAGACATTACCCCCAAAACCACATTCAGAAACAAACTGAACGGAGCTGTGGAGTTGCTTTCCTCGTAGCTCTTGCTTTTTCCAATATTAGTTCCAAAAGGTCAAATTGAAAACATTTTTTTTTTAGCGCTTTCATGCATAGTGGTCACCACAGTGGACAGCTATCTAAAAGTCATTCTCTTGTGCTTCTTGTGGATTTCTATGTTATAAATGCACACAGACCACTGAAGTGGACACTAATCCATAATAAAATACACCATCAACTACTGGCCGTCACCTGCAAATGCAAGAAATTATTTTTTGTTAAATCCAATATGGCCGACAGACAAACAAGCATGCCAACTCACCTGGTCCCTCCTTCCAAAAAAAATATTGTGACCTCAGATAACCCCTAAAGAACAATACTACTGATGTATTTTTCAAATAACAACTTTTTATTTGGAGAAAATTATAATTGATCATCAAAAAATAGAATAAAATAAAAACCTTTTTTATAAAAAAAAAATTCCTACCTTTTTTAAAGAAAATAATACAAAAAAAAATGTTGGAAAAAAAAAACCTGACCCAAAGGATCATAATTTATGCATGAAAGAGTTAATTTCTAGTGTACCAAACTTGCATACACAGGTTTTGGAGTCATTTTGGAGTCTTGTTTAGGAAATATTTTGCTTATTTAAGCAAGACAATGCTAACCAAAGTCGAGGAAATCAATGTTAAATTGTCATCTTCATATGTATTCAGCACATTTACTGGAGAAATGCATGCGACATATGATATGTGTTATCTTAATAACACATAAACAGCCAAACTAGGATGTCATATTTGAGGCAACGTGTTGCTGCTAGAATTGTTGGTGCAGCAAAATATGATCCACAATGTCCAGATATAGAGATCTTCCTCATGAATAAACTTTTGAAGTCAGCGAAAGCAGAAATACTTCACTGGGGTTAAAAGTTAACTTTAGTAAAGTTCAAAACACAGTGGCACCCAAAAGCAAACACGCTCCTCTAAAAATACCAGTTTTTAAAACATTGTAAAATATTTTTAATGCAAAACAAATGGAAAACAAATAAAAAGGTGCAATAATTCACAAGTTTACATACATTACATGAAAGGACACATGCGCATATTTGTATCGCTATTATTGCTTGTTTTAGGTTAATTAGCATCAGCAAAATTATTTCTATTTGCTAAATGTCAGAGAACATTTTTTTATTTGAAAAGTTTACACGTATTTGCTCAATATCAGGAATAATTGTCTTTTAAACATTTGACCTGGGTCAAATCTTCCACACCTTTTTCACAATAGCTTGTTTGGTCAGTTCCTCCTTAGAGAACTGGTGGCAAGTGTCTCACTCGTCTTTATAGATCGACCCACAACCTGTTTATAGGATTGAGATCCGGGCTGTTGAATGTATATGAACTATTAAAATCCCTCTATCAGCTTTGATAAGCTGTGTATTTTTTTTTTTTTTTTGCTTAATTTCTTTTTTGAGAGACCACTGCAAAATCTTCAGTTTCTCTGATTGTAGTCTTTATGGGTATAAGTTTGAATAAAATGAACTTGTTCTTTTATTCTATGAACTGCTGACAACATGTCTCTGAAACTCCAAGCAAAAACTTAGTATTTATTTGCAGAAAACGAGAAATGGTCAAAATAACAAAAAGATGCAGAGCTTTTTTAATAATGCAAAGAAAACAAGTTCATATTCACTTAGAAACAACAATACTAATGTTTTAACTCGGGTTCAGAAATCAATATTTGGTGGAATAGCCAGGAGATTTTCAATGGGGTTCAGTGCAGCAGGCTCTTCATTTTCTCCAGGTCCCATTAATTATATTTTAAACTTTGTCTTTTTTTAACTTCTTTAAGGTTATATAAAAACGCTGAAGCCTTCTCTATCTTTGCATCATGTCAGTATACCAGAAGCATGAAGACCTAATTCAAACAGTCTACTTATAATATAAGGTCACTATAAATAAAACTGCCTTGTTTGATTATTCTCTTCTTTCCAGGTGCAGAAAACATAGAGAACTCTATTTAAAGGAAAAAAAAAACTCTCCTCTTCTTGAGTTACACATAATGTCTGTTGCCACCAGATTTTAAAAAGTATCTATTAATGTTGGTCCATAATTATCACGGCATACACAAATAAACTGTAAGTAAGAGTACACCCTGCATGTGAGTTCTGTTTATTCTCTGTTGCTGTTTTTGGGGGTGTGGTGAACACATCGAGGTGGATGATCTCATGATGCCATATGGGAGATTACAGTCTGGTATCATGAGCGGTAAAGCTCCTTTGAAGCTTTTCGGTAACAAGGACTGAAGGTCTGCAGCTTTATCCCCACCTGCCGCCCCCCATCGTGCCCCCAGCCCGATTAGAGGGGCCAAAGGTCAGGGGGTTTTGAAACTAAAAACCCACCGTGAGTAAACTTTATGGGATTTTCTTCTGAGCAATTAAGGTTACATGGTTACAAAGAGGAATGGAAGCTGTTGAAATTTTAGAGAAAATAAAAGTAGAGCATGAAAGTAGGATTACTAACAATTTAAAGAAAAAAAAAACTCTTAAGTGTCGTATAACTGAGAGGTTATCTTGAAAAGAGCAACTACCTCAAACTGAAATCCTTATCATTGAAAGATTGTCCATGTTTTTCAGACAGGAAAACATTTTCTTAAATCCTGACAGACATTTAGTAACTGAGAGCTCAAACCTTGCAGGCATTCCTGTTTGTGACCTTCCACGTGTTTTGGGGACAGAAGCTGCGGTGAAACGTTTGAAGTGGCATCGGCTGCACGTGTGGGACAGGAAGCGGAGCGGAAGGTGTCAAAGGTCAGACAGATGCTTTCTTTGTGGACGGTGGGCAGGAAGTTTGTGCGCTCTTTCTTGGTCCTTCTCAGGTTGACGGTAGCTGCGGTCCTAATGAGCTCACATCCGTCAGATTTTTGGACTCTGGGTTTTAAATTGTAGCAGGAAATGATAGTGAACCGCTGGTTTGGTTCCAGCTGGGGATCCCCCGGATCTTTTTATAAGTCTACTCCCAACTGGACAAATTATGCCAAGTGTGATTTAATAGGTCGAAGGTGTTCCTGTTCTTCTTTATTAT